CCTTGTCCTGTTGTGTTTGCTGCGTGTCCCAGGCTAGTACCTAATGAGTGCCACCGAGCCCTCAGGATTGATAAATGGAGATGCCGAGATGTTGCTCGAGGCCTGGAGGAGCCCTGAGGATGCGCCGTTGCCTGCGGCCGCTCGAGGTGACACCCCGGAGCAGGAGGAGGTGACGTCCAAGCGGCAGCTCCTCGGGACTTGGTGTCTGCAGCAGCAGGGCTGCCCCTGGCTCTGGTCCCTGCGGGGCTTGAGGGAGAGCGTCCCCGTGGTGAGCGGGTCCCGGGGACAGGGTTTCCTGCAGGCTCCTGCCAGCCCTGTCTCTGCCCCGCTCTTGCTCTCCCACCCACGTCCACTGCCGCCCAGCTCCTCTGGAGCCTACCCAAGGCCAGGGCTATCCCTGCAGCCGGCTGGGGTGCTGGGGACCATTGTGCCCTCCTCAAGGAAATGCCCATAGGGAACGGGAGCTATTCTGGGGAGGGAAAAGATCAGCTTGAACAAATTTCTGAACCCGAACGGAGGATAGAGCGGAGCAGAGCAATGTGCTCGCTGTTTTCCAAACAAACCCCTTCTCCCCTCAAATGGCAGCTCATTAACGTGTTGACATTTGAAAACCTGGTGATGTGAAGTCTCTTGCTCTGAGCCAAGCTGGGGCCTTTTTCAGTTTTCCGTTCACAGAGCTCTTGCCTTGTCCACCTCCCTGTATGGTGCCGGCCCTTATAGGGAAGGGCAGGGAAAGGAGGAGAGGGAAGGGCTGGCTGCATGGGGTGTGCGGGCAGAGATGTTTCGGCCCAGATGCGTTGGGGATGGTCTTTTGTATTGCATGTGTTTGCTACAGGGTGAGCAAGTTTTTAGTGTTTGGAAGAATGCTGTAACACAGCTAAGCGAGATGGCACAATTGCCGGCGAGGGTGTTTGGACACCAGTATGGGATATGGCACCTTGCTCAAAAGCCAGGACATCAGGTAAGAAAAACCTGTAGCCTGTGGGCTGGACTGGATTGGGTCCAGGGCTGCCATGGAGAGAGCCTGAAGGGAAGCGGCTGCTGCAGGAATTGCAACCGGACCAGGGAGTGGGTCCCCAGAGCCAGGCCCTGGGCGGCATCGCAGCGTCCTCCTGCGAGAGGGGCCGCGAGCCCTGCCGAAACAGCCCCGCTCCCGGGAAGGGGCTGCCTGGGAGCCCCGGAGCAGCAATCAAGGGCCCTATTGTGGCTGTTTGTGCAGATGCATAATTTAGGAGACAAAACGGAAAGTCGGCTCAGCTCAGCAGGGAGCCGGGAGCTGATGTGGGAGCCTGGAACTGATTTGGGGAGTGCAGAATGGAGCCACCGTCCTTCTGATTAGCACAGGAGGAGGGGGCAGCAGGGAACGGGAGGCAGTCGAAGGGGAGCGGAGCCCGAGTGATCCCGATGCTGCAGACAGCCCCCAGCTCTGACCTGCCATTTGCTTGTGCCAAGCGGGCACGAACCGCATCCCAGATCTGGGGACCCCCACGCAGGGACAAGGGCCGCTCCGTGGTGGGGCTGTTGGGGGGACCCTGGGGACAGTGGAGCAGGGCAGGAGGAGAGGCAGGACCCGTCACCCCCCACCCTGCAGCACAACACGATGCATTAGGTCAACGGTGTCTCTGGAGCAGGGACATCTGGAGTGACTTTGCCAAAGAGGAGGCAAGTGCAAGGCCAACAGCAGGGCAGGAGCAGCTGATCCCCCTCCGAAAGGCAGTGCTGGTGCAGCCCAGCTCCCATGCGAGCAGGGCCTTGCCCTACAGGTCTTTGCAGTTCCAGCCTGTGCCTCCTTGGGGCAGGAAAAAAAAGCTTTGGGTGAAACTGTTTTATTAGCGCAGAGACCGAGCACCGAGTTCCTCAGCTCTGTCTCGCGGCGCGGGGATGCGCTGGCCTCGTGTGCCGGAGCCGGCAGACGTGACGTCGCACGGCCGGTGCGAGGGGCTGAAGGTCAGCGAGCTCCTCTCCAAGCAAAGACATTTTCTGCTCTGTCATCCTGAGTTTTCTGCTTTCCATTGCCAGATTGTTCCAGAGGAAGGCCGGGCAAGCCCCAGCCGTGCCGCTTGTGTGTTCTTCCAATGCCATCTAGTGTCGGGCACAGCGCAGCTCCCCGCCGGCGCGAGTGCTGCCCGAGGCTGTTTTGTGGAGATACCAGCTCTTATTTATTACGAGATGGTCTCTGAGGACCAACAGGCCGCTCGGGCCAATTACTAAGAGTGGTGCCAGCAGCACGAACTACTCATAGGTGCACAGATTGGACCTGATTATTTTTATATCATTTCCACTTTGCATGAAAAGCCCACCCCAGCGGGATGGATTGCAAGGAGGCAATGGCATGTCTGGGGTGATTAAAATCTTTCAGCCTTCAGCCGCTTGTCTCATAGCCCCGACATCACCTGAGGCTTAATCACTCAGAAAAGTGCTGTCATGTCCTATTGTCACTGTATTGGGAGCACGACCTCTTTCCCATTTAGCTGCCATTTCAAAATAATATAACCTGCCAGGGGACCAGCATGACTCAGAACCCTGGTAATAGGATATAAAGACTCTGACCTGCCGGTCGTCCATCTGAAAGCTGCCAAGGTCGGCCGCAAGGGCAAAGATGTCGCCTGCACCATGTTCGTTTGGCCAAAGTGCCCAACGCAGCGGTAACAAGGGCCCTGGGCCTGAGCTGGGGCTTGGACTTGGCTTGCTGAGCCGCTCTTCTGCACGCCACCATCATGTGCAATGATGTAGATCCACACCAAAGCTCTCTGCATCCTTGGACACTGCAAATTTGCCTCCTCAGTAGCAAACCATATCTTGGAGTCTGTTTGATCCCATGACTAATTAAGCCCTCACTCAAAATTAGGGTACTCCTTGCAGCCAGAGTTGTAAATATGAGCAGATTAATGAGTCCTAGCTGTTAGATGGCTGCTACCAGGCTGCACCAGGGAGAGTTACAGTGCTTGGAGCTCCCAGGGCTCCGTGACTGCCCCCCGTGCCGGATGGGACGGCCATGTGGTCACCCACAGGTCCGACCGGACAGACACGGGGTAGAGACCAGGCTTCTGCAAACCTGTTTGTTGGTGAACCTGGATCCTGACACCTCGGCCGGGCCGCAGAGCGGCACAGTGCAACAGAGTCCCCTCCTCATTAGCACACTTCAGCAGGGCGGTTTAATTGCTGTCATCCTCGTTAGCAGTGCCGCCTTCTCACCATCTTTGCTTTAATTGCAGCCTTCCTTCTCCTGCAGCCCTTGGAGTGCTCCACAAAGTCCTTTGGGTGAGAAAACAGAAAAACGGGGCCCGCAAACGGGGAGTGCTGGAGCAGACCCGCTGAGCCGGAGCCCGGTGGCCGCGATAGGAGAGCAGTGGGCACCCTTGCCGCGTTTGCAGTGGTCTAGCTAGCTCCCTGCCTGCCTGGCGTGTTTAGTTTTCACTCATCTGTTCAGTTTTCTGATTGTCTGCAGACAAGGTGCCCTCCTCTGCGAATAGCAAGTGTGCGAGTATTGCAAGAGCTCCTATTGACTGACAGCTGTCAGGGCCTCCAGAAGTCATTAAAAGTACCTCGGCTGACGTGCTGTTCACCACCAGGCTAGAATTTCACCCAGAACCTATTTTGCTATATTTATCCAGCATTAATAGCAGGACTTCGCCCTACTAAACAGTAGCAGAAGTAGCAGCCAGAATCCCCTTCCTGGCGCTGCTGCTGAACAGGCGTGTGAAAAAATACGGGCTGGTTTGAATCAAAATTGCAGCCCTCTCCCCCGGAGCCATCAGCAAACGGTGGCAATTTACTTTACAGCTGTTCAGATTTGTTTCTCTGCATTTTTTAAAACCCCAGTGGAATTGCAAATGAAGCTCGTGTTTGCTCCTTGGGCTCTTTCCATCCTACCTGGGCTCTCCTGCTCCTCGGGATCATGGCCCCAGGCCGGGCCCAAAGCCCCGAGGGCTCCCACACCCCGGCCTGGCACGAGCCGTGATGGGAGAGGTTGTGATCCCAGCACGAGGCCACCGGCGAGGGGCAGCCCGGGAAAGGAGGTTCACCAATTCCGGGTGCGATAGGCACTGCCGCCCATCAGCAGGAGGTGGGAAGGAGGAGGTGCCCCAATGGGGCACGCGGGGCCCTGCCTTAACCCAGTCCCTCCCTGGGAACAGCTCCCACCAGGAATCTCCTCCTCGCTGCAAGGTGAGGAGCCCCGGGGTGTCCTGGGCTGCTGCGGGAGCTTGGCGAGGGGAGGGTGAATGCAGCTCCGTGGGTGAGTCCCGAGCCGTGTTCCTGCACGTCCTGAGCCGCGTTCCTGCACATCCCGAGCCGCGTGTCTGCACATCCCGAGCCGCGTTCCGAGCCGCGTTCCTGCACGTCCCGGGCTGGCTCGGGGGAGCACTGCAGCCTGAAGGAGCAGCAGGATGCAGCAGGACGGGCTCCAGCACGCGTCGGGCACCTCACAGCCCTCCGAGAGCCCCATCAAAGGGGCAAATGCTCCTGCCTGGCAGCAAGGCTGAGCCGGGGAGGCGCCGTGATGTGACCTGGGGCTGGAGCCTCCTCCTGCAGCGGGGGAGACGTGGATTCCAGCGGTGGGAGAGGACGTGGCAGCGGCACCACGGACCGGTCGGGTGATTCATGCCTTGCCCTGCTCCAACTCGCTGTGGGCTTGGGCCATGCCTGGCAACGTAAGGAAAATTAATAACAGCCACCAGGTAACGAGCGGGCAGCTCGGGCACCAGGGCTGCCGGATGCGGGTCTGGGTGAGGGATGCGTTTCCTGCTGGTCACCACGGACAGGGCAAGCAGTGCCTGGAAATGACTCGCGGACCAGCCTAGCTTTGCATGGGGTTGATTTTGTTGCATGCCCTAGTGAGGCTTGGGGAGGTCCCCAAGGCCACTCGCACCCCGAGCCTGGTGCTAGAGGATCGGCCCGGGCCGCTGGACGCTGCCTGCAGGGATTTTGCTGTTTTAGGGGCAGTTTTTGCCACTCTTCTTTCTCTCTCTTGCCAGACTAGCTGACGGGTTTGGTGGACCATGAACTGGGGGTTTTTCCAAGGGCTCCTCAGCGGGGTCAACAAGTACTCGACAGCCTTCGGCCGCATCTGGCTCTCCGTGGTCTTCATCTTTCGCCTGCTCGTCTACGTGGTGGCGGCCGAGCGGGTCTGGAGCGATGACCACAAGGACTTCGACTGCAACACGCGGCAGCCGGGCTGCAGCAACATCTGCTACGACCACTTCTTCCCCGTGTCCCACATCCGCCTCTGGGCCCTGCAGCTCCT